AATATCCTCCGTCGATGTAATATAACGACCGCGACCCATAGATTCTGCGGCAGCGTCGACTTGTGCCGTGATTTAAATACTCCGTGAAAATTATGATTCCACGGCATTCGCGTCGCCGGTGGAATTTAATTTCGGTATCGACGTTGCCCACGCACGACGTCGCAACTTTCCACTGCCGGGGACTACTTAAATAAGAAGAGGGATCGATCCGTTGCGTGACTGAAAATCCGAATGCAGGATAAGAAAACTCTCAGGGCAGGGATAGGGATCGAAAGATAGGGAGATAAGAGGATTTCACGTGCCTAGCGGGGTGGCATTATCGTTGTTGGAAAGGAATTCGCCAAGCCGATAAAACTTTCCGACGGTAAAGCTTGCGTCGCGGCCGAATAGTATTTAATCGGCCGCCATCTTCTTTCGTATTCCACGCGTTTGTTGTCGAAGGATTACACTTCCGTTCGATTCGAAGCTCTAAGAACATCCGACATCCGTTCTAATCCGATCGAAACTAAGATTCGTGACAGTAATTACTTAGAGTATTCTTGAGGATGAAAAATAAGAATGAAATATTTGGTTGTTGCACATGAAAAATAAGATTATACATATAGAGTCTATATACATGTTTTTAACCGAAATACTAGTGTTATCTTCATGTTATATTTATTGTGTAATTATTATACTGAATTTCAGGATGATTCTTCAAAAACACCATTAGCTGCCATCTTTTCGTCGAATGTTGTCATTGATAAATTGTAGTAGGTATTTTTTTACCAGAAACTTAAATGCGTCTTTATGAAGTTTATTTATGATATTACTTGAACGAGTCTTTATGAAGTTTATTTAAACATTTTAAAAGTCGGCGATTCCTCTTCGTAAGCTTGGAAAATTTCAAATTTTCCAATACTTCGAAACATCAAACAGGAAATATAGACCAAGGTTAAACGAATTTCTGCTTGAAATTAATTGACTATTACGAGAAGGTAACACTGGATTAAAGAAGTACGGGTTTATCTTTCCGTGAGAACTTGAAGGAATCTTTCACAGACTTTTCCTCGTAATACCTCTGCCTCGACCATTTCACCTTTCTCCTCCACTTTCCGTTTCATTACCTAAAGTGCCGGGGCAACGTGAATACGATTTCTTTTTTCCAATAATACGATATACTTCGAGATGTAGAAAGCAGTTGCATGGCGCTCTCCGGGAGAAGAATAATTTACCCGTGATCGTCAATTCGACGAGCGATAGCGGTTCGAATCGTTTCGACGACGTGTCCCGCATACGAATATCCTCGCAATTGAACCGTACAGTCGTCGGGGGTGCGAACTGGAATGTCTTCAATTTATCAAAAATCACTTAAATCCTCCGTTGGATCCTATACTACAATAGACAGTGATGGATACTTGGATTCGTGTAGATTCACGTAACAAGATCAATTTAACTTCTCGTACCTAAAATTGGGATAAAACAAAAATACAATACGTACAAAGTGTCTTCTACCTTTTTACTGTGAAACCTTCGTAGGTTAAATGTATTTGGTATTTGGGTTACTGTTGAAATTAATTTGATGGGGGCGATCGATACTGCTCAGCGAAAGACAAATGCAAGATGTACATGAAAACGAATTTTAGCACTGTACAATTATCTTATTTTAGGGAAAATACATTGTGGTAGCTATGCAGAAACTTTTTTGATATGTGAAGACATCATTTCGATACAGTAAATAAAAATAATACGATTGAGATAATAGACTAACGTCAATTGATAAGTGTCTCGTAGGCAAATAAATTCAAAGGAGGGTAACGTGAATTATTTATGACTTTATGTAATATATATTTTTAGAAACGATTGTTGCAACTCTTCATTAACTGCATGAAATGAAGTAACAATGAGCCAAGGAAATAAAAAGCATATCAGACGTTGTAGTAAAGAATTTCTGACAAATATTCTTAAATTTTTCTGCGACACTTTGTGCTGCGCTAATCTCAATAAAAATCACACGATCCTTTTAAGGCGTTGAATTGTATTACATAGACACGAGGAAAATGTAGTAGAATAGCGTGGATTATTTCTTCGATGCAACGGCGTTACGCCCACACTGTACACACCCACGAAACAAAGAATTTAAGGGGTGTCAGCGTTGCGCTTGGAAAATAAAATTCCTCTATGGCCGAGAAATGAAAAGCTGCCCAAGAACGCTTCAAAACGCGTTATATCCGAAAACGGTAAATCTTTTTTAAATTTTTCTGTGTGTATTTCGTTCTTATAAACAATCTGTATGAATTTTATTTAATTATCTAGTCTTTCGAATTGGACACGAACCACCTTAATCCACGGAAAGAGGAACGTCGGTGATAGACGTAGTTTTGCCATTCGTGTTCCAACGAATTCACGCGTACATATTCATTCAACGACGGTTCAGGTTCTCCCTTTTATTTTTATCGCCAGGCTCATTTCTCCGGCGCAGGATCACGAAAATCGCCTATGAGCGTTCCTCATAGCAACTGAATAGATTAATCCGCGGCGGACGCGCGGTGACACAGATCAAGATGTCAGCTTTGAGGGGGTGGGTTCAACGAGCTTCCACGTTTCTGCGGGAGTGGCAATGAAGCCAGAGGAAAACGGTCTATGCGCTCGGGAAATTGCACGATGTGCGTCAAAATTTAATAACAACCGTCCCCTCGTCGCCCGAACAGCCTCTCGAAATTCGAGCGTTAACAAGGCGCCCTTCGTACTTCCGATTGTTGTTGGCCCGATTACAGATTTACAGAATGTCCCGACGAGCGATTTATAACGAAGGTTGTTGTGGATTATTATACGATATTCGAATTAAAATGAATTTTTAATTTGGTATTTTTGAACTTGATAATTAATATCGTTACGGACTGAGATTCTGATTACTTAAGAGTAACTATCGCGGTTTTTTTTAGGTATAAGTAGAAAAATTAACCAAATCTAAAGGAATTGTTGTTATTTGAGTAAATCCATGTTTTGTCTTGGTATTAAAAAAACATGCAGAAATAGTAATACAATTAAATTATAATTTAAGTTTTAAAGTGAGAAGTGCAAAGGGAGCAATTTCTGATCCCCTAAATCATATATCTGTGTCACTTTGAGCTAACAAGTTTTACGTATAATTTTCGAAATAGTTGATAATTGTTTAGTATCTTCAAGTTTAGTATTCTCGTTTTCGTTCACATTCGTTTATGTTGGAGGAAAGTAAAAGGAAATTATTGTTGGTTGCATCCTCAGGTATTTCACTAGTTTATTTTAAAATTCACATATTTTTAACCCTTAACCGTCAAGGTTAAATATAAGGAAGACCAAAAGGGCGTCGAGATGTTCGAAATTTAACTCCATATTACGAGGGTGGTAAAAAAAAGGTCGTGGATTACGTATGGAGCACAAAATAATGCGCGGATTATTCCTTTTTTATCTTTATCTCAAATGTACAATTGAACCTCGAGGCTCGTAATACAATTAAACGAGGCTATAAAAATATTAATGTGCGAAAGCACGTGAAAATTTACACAACGATATAGCACAGCGTACGTACAGTGATATTTTCATTATTACTAAGTGATAATACAACCGCGGTTAATGAAATTCGTAATATAATTGAAGAATAACATGAACATTCATTTTTTCTCTCATATCTGTCATTTTTCCTGCCTTTGGCGGAATATTCGTGACATAATATTACGTTTTCCTTTGTACGTCGTAAAAATCAAGCAACTAACATTTTCGTACGTCTGAAAAGTCCAACAATTCCAGAAGAAATCCGATTATCCTTCTCCAGTTATCAAATATACTACATAGTCTCGCTTAACAATTTATCTCTTGTATTTATTTAATGTTCTTTCGTCTTCTCGTATCTTTTAAAATTCTCTGTATCTGACAGTTCGGTGTCAGCCACAAAATCGGACGAATAAACCTCGATGTCTCACCCTCTTCTCGATTTATCTATTTCCTCTAAATTGCGTAACGAGTCGAATGCGACACGAAAACCCGTAAGTTCCGCAACGGGGTTATTCCACAACGTCTCTAACCGGGCTCGATCCTTCCCCTATCTCTCGTTCGTGTTAAATGGTCCGCCGCGTTTTGCAGCCACTCGTAAACGCGATCGTAACGCACCGGCGACACCCGCGGAAAAATATATACGATGGCGATCGTATTAAACCCAACTCCGTTGTATATTTTACTTCTTTATTCCCACTTGATGTCGGGCCAGTAAAGTTTAACCTTTAACGCCGAGTCGGTTTCATTAATTCTTCTCGATGCACCCTTTTTTTTTGTTCTCTCTTAAACGTTCGTTACAGAGATTGAGTGTTTCTGTGGGGGAAAAACAGGTATCTTTGAACTCGTTAAAATGGAAAATTTAAATTCACTTAAATTCATAGGTCGTGATTTTGAATTTATTAGGCCAAAGCTACTAGGACCGGTCAAATTACTAAGTTTCAAAATTTTTAATTACTTTAATTAAACAGTCGTACGAACTGGTAGATTTTGTTTCTGGACCACTGTACGATAGATTCGCAACAGTACAAATTAATATAATCGGTTTGGGCATACGTTTATTCACACTGTGGCGGCTATAGAACTGCTACCACGTCCTTGTGAATATTTCTCATTTAATTAAGTCAAAGGCTCCTCCCGTCGTAGTGTAGGATAATTGGACCTTTATATGGAGGTTACCTGTACCGATTGCACTTGATAACACAATCGAATGTCCACGAATTATACTTAACCGTCTTGCAATCCGTTCAGCGTCTCACAGCGAGACAACGCCGCAAACTTTCAGTGACAAGGTGACTCCGTTGAATTTCCTGGGAGAAACTAAGCGCGAACACTCCATCGGAGTGTAATCTAATTGGGGTGGGTGTAGTACGGGGGTTCCTTTTCACGTCTAATGGAGTCGAACTTTTTCAGACTCAAGGTCAAAGAGGCACCTGTAACCATTAGCAGCCGACAATTGTAAATAGTCGGAGGGAAGAAGTCGAGGAGTAATGATTTCCTCGGCGATCTTCGGGGCAGCAGCCGGCACAGGTCTCGCCCTGGTCGTCGCGATGACGATTGTTGTCTATCGATATTACGCCGTGAAACGAAAGGGAAAGTACTGGAGCAACCTCGACCGTTGGCCCGATCCACCAACCACGAGACGACTGGAAGCTAGGCAAGAGGATCCTCTGCAACATTCTCACGACCCTTCCTCCTCCCATGTGCTAAATTGTTGGAAGAAACAGCAGAAGAACTACTACGCAGTGCAGAATGGGGTAAGTGAAATGGAATTCATTAGTAATCTCCTCTGTTCTTTGCATGGGTGCTTTGAGTACGTGGTTAACACTCTGCGGTCCACGGTCTGTATTGAGCTGAAACGCCATACAGCCATACATGATTAAGAGACATTGTGGTTGCAATTAATGCTGATCGAAAAACACCAGTTAAAATTTTTCCTTTTGTTTAATTGTAAATTTCAGACTTTCCTCTTATTGACAGACACGATAAGTTTTCACGTTTACATGTGGTTTTAATTTCTCAGGTAGTTCAGGTAACGGTTCTGTTTGCAAATTATTTTATTATGAATAATTGTATATATTGGGTTAGTGCAAAAATGTTTTGGTGGACTTTCTGCAGATAATGTTACTGTTATGGTTTTGTGGAAACAATAAACAGTCTCCTTAATGTATTTCAATGTGTATATTGTCATTAGGAAGAAAAATTTACGTGATTGAGTGTGTATTAGAGTTGAAAAACTTAATTTAGTACAAGCTTTTATAGCCACCATTAACGTGCCATAAGGGTGTACGAGTTTCTACAGAAATAAACAGTGTAAACTTCATAAATAACATGTGTCACCTGTTTAGAGGAACCGCTATGTTTATCCCAACACGCGATAAACAGTAAATTCACTGATACACTCTAACAATATAGCTTCAATAATAATAATAACGATATTTATAAAATTTGTTTATTGCAATAACAATTTGTACTGAAAGTACATGTTATAAAACAATTATTATGTACTTTATGAAATTATTGTTGAATTATAATTAAACAATATTAGTAGTCTACTGTTTTATAGCAAAACCCATCAAAACCTTTGCACTGACTTAATATTTTAATACACATAATAATAACTATTCTAATAATCTGTAATATAATTTTTATCTTACGATAATATTTGAAATTACCGAAAAATTCAACTATATTCATACAATTTACCGAAATTTAACGCAGCGGCATGAGACTTAAACCATGAACACAATGGTTGTGCAACAAATTTTCAAAATTTAACTCACTGATTGTTTAATAGATAACTTTTAGAAGAGCGTGACTATTTTTCCATAATTAACTCAGATCACTTGGCGAATAGATGAAGCCATCAATTAGTGATCTACTCACTATTAACGAACCATACTGTCAATATTACGCGTCGAATATCCTAAACCGGTGTGTAATTATCCGGCTATTTGTATGAGCGTTAATAGCGTCCGTTGTTTGTTCCGTTCCATTAATTACCCCTATTCTTTGTTTGGGACACACACGCCTCCGCGTGCATTACTACTTTGTCGTTGAGAAATTTCTACGTGTTGATTTAACAACTAAAAAAATAATGCGTCTCGTAAGTTCCTTTGTTTATACTCGAAAAGACTTGAATTTCTCTAAACCGTCTCCCGATCTCTGATTTCTCATTTGTATGTATTTAATTTTGAGAAAAAGTGAAATTTTCCATAACTTTTGCTGCACAATTCAGCTGCATTAACTGCAGCTGACTCCATCTTTAGAGAAAAGAATGCCTTTTAAATAATTCTGTGCACGTTAATTTACTATACAAATAATGCCGTTTTCCATCCATTTTGATTTTCCAAAAATATAATCAAGCATACCAATCAGTGGAATAGGTCATATCATACGCAACAACCTGTTTGTTAGTTGCGCTGTCGAGGAATTGGATCGTTGCATATATTCGACAACCTATTAGTGTCCACCATTAATTGGACAACGTAGTTCTCTAATTAGTTGATGAATGTCAACGGTTAATTTGTGGCAAATGAATATCTTCTGTCGCTTTGATCGAGATTGCGTATTGCTGCGTATCTTATAACCTCATTACATTTCTGAATGTCACCTATAAAGAAGTACATCTTTGCGCAAAATTTGATTTTGTAAATATGGTAAATATTGTTATTGTATGCAGATTAATTGCACAAGTCGATCGGAATCGAATTTCCGAGATCCACTCTGGCATGTTCGATTTCCATACAAAATGTAAATTAGCTCGTTAACTTATTATAGGTAACTGATATAATTATGCATGAAATGAAATACCTTGACAGCTAACACATCAAAGTAATGTTCGCGCGTTTCGGAGTAGCACGGTATGAATACGAAGAAGCAATACGTGTATTCATTGCGATCGATAGTTATTAGATCAATAATTGACGCATTGCGGATTATCTCACCTTTGGTGTAAAATACATTCGTTAAATGGATTATAATTACGTTCCTGTAATACACATTCCGACAAATCTCTGTTAACAAACAGGCAATTGAGGACAAACACACGATATAGTTTAGAATAAAAATTTACTATACATAGTACAATGGCTAATTTACGTGTAGATAGTGAATATATTTCGGGACGTGGGTACATTGAATTGAAGAACCTTCTTTTATACTATTTACATTCCAGTCGAGACGTTAATCGTTAGGTACAGTTATATGTATGATTTAGGTGATCAGAAATTGCTCCCTTTCGACTTCTTACTTTAAAAGTTAAATTATAATTTAATTAACCCTAGTTTTGCACTTTTGTTAATACCAAATTAAAGATAAAACATATATTTATTCGAATAACGACAATATTTGTGGGTTTGGTTAACTTTTCTATTTTCAGATTAAAAAACCGACGATGGTTACCCTTAAGTGATCAGGAATTGTGTCCGTAACGATATTCGTTAAAACTGTTAACTACTACTAGTAGCAAAACGTTCGAATGTAGAGGACCTATCTACCGAACAAACCCACTGATAATGGTATATACATCCTATTAGTAGCTTATTCTATTATTTACTTCAACCTAGTATGTTATTCTCGATACATTTGATTAGACGAAGTAAGAAAGAAGGATTATTCGTCAATAGCAAAATGTTCTACTATAGAGGATCACTCTACGGAAGAGAACCTATCAATAACGGCTTTTACATCCATCAGGGCCGGGCACGTGTGCTGCAAACATGTCAGGTTTCCATATGTCAGCTCGTTAATATGCAACCTGGTTGCCAGCGGAATCCATGTGTACGTCCGCTACAAAATAAATATCGAGAGGCGATGTGCATCCATATCACGCGTATGAAAGGTTTCTATATTCGAACGCGAGAAAACCGCGGATAATTAATTCAATACTGTGAGTTCTGTAAATTCTCCCCGACAGCATGACCATTCTACATTGATTTTACGCGATTTCTACGATCCCCTTAGATATACATATCATTCTCAATATTTTGAAAGTTTCATTTCCATGTAAATTATAACAAATTGTAATATCGTAATACTTGAAACTTCAACTGTTGAATAAATTATACTTGTTATATTTTTGTGATTCCCTGTTGTCGATAGAGACGTTGATAGAATTTAGTGTAGGGACGGAAGTGTTGCCCTATGGGTAGGACGCAGATGGCAAGTAGTATAGGTCAGCGATTGTACCGACACCGCAACGTCGGTAAAGACACAGATGGGGTTGATAGACGATTTTATCTTATAAGCTTCCGAGGGAGTTTTGTGACCAACGGAATCTGTATTATCGACGACTTAGACAGACAGTGATTTTAGTGGTTCAGTTCGCTTCAATCTTCTCGGATCCGCATCGAGTCGCTCTGGTTATACTTACATAAACCAACAATTACCTTAGATCGATGTTACGATTAAAAAATATTTGTTTAGCATGATAACTGTTTAAAACTGTGTAGATACCTACATATAGATATCAAAGTAAACACTGCATATCAAATTCTTAATTAAATAATACTAAATTAATAAGGGCGGCGAGATTGTTTTTTTACCTGGACCGCCAGTTACCCAGAAACGGCCCCGCTGGTTTAGAGTTTAGAGCAACAGAAATTAAGGAAGGGAAGTAATCATAGTCTCGTAATTTTATATACCTTTATTTCAATCGTAGGAGACGTGAGAAAGGAATGAATTCATTTTTAATTATATTATTTATATTTCTTAAAATAGTCGAATATGTATGTGATTGTTTGCATTAAATAAAGTATTGAGTTTCACGTATGCTTGTAATTATATTATAAAAATTGTTTTACAAATAGATTTAATATTTTCTGCAATGTATTGTTTAGAACAATCACATTTTCGGTGGGAGTTGTTAAACATTCTATCAGATATTTTGATTCCCGCCAAATCATTTCGGATACACGTAACATGAATGGAATATTCAGATTTCATGCTTTATCGGTAACGTTGGTTATTGATACTGAAATGGTAAAGGGGCTATGGAGCCCTCGAAGCATCTGCCAGAAAATTACATTATTAAAATTACAATATTGTTGGGTAGCGACGCAAAAATGGTAATGGGGTTCAAAGATCCCACAAAATCTGACCACGAAAATAGAATTAGATGACAGATGTATTCATACATCTCGCATGTGCTTATATGAATTATGTAAGTGTCTTATTTACCCTTTATTCTCAACAAAATGTAATTGATCGATTTTGTATCGATCATTGGCAAGCCTGTGTTCTAATACTTTTCAATACTTGGTACTTTAAAGGACATTTTTCTTGCTATGTCTATCACAGGAAGCATTCATGCAAATGATAATATAAACAATAATGCATATCCAAACAATTAAATTTACATCTTTAGTGTGTATTCTTTAACATAAGTGTATATTTCCAGTCTGCAAATTGTTTCTGACAAAAGAAATGAATTAAATTCCGACTTAAGTGAACTCTTGACTTCGTTTTATAGTACCATTACGGTCTTTAGTTAAGTCAAACTTAATAGATTTATCTAATTGACATCTATATTTAAAAAAAAAAGCGTATAAGGAAAAAACCTATCTCACGCACAAGAGTAATTAACATTCCACGTATAATTTTTCGACACGTTCATACTATTTCTCTCATACTATTTCCAGACCATAAAAACGTCGTCGACCCAATAAAAAGTCAAATGATTCCCGCGAAAAATGAGATTTCCTCCGAAACAATCAACAAAACAAGACTACGTCAACGCTTCGTACTCGAACAAAGA